GACCATATAATCTACGAAATGTAATCTCAAATTCCCTAATCTGCAAGCCCTGTAATCGAAAAGGCAATAACTCCAAACTCTCTCACTCTAATTTTCTTAAACTCCGAGCCCTGCAACCTACGTATGGAAAACAACTATAGATTTTATTTCTGAATATGATTGTAGGACCCTTTAGAAAACTATTCCAAATTAAATCAAGATCTAGATCTCAGCCGTTTTTTTTTGCTAATGTACAGTTTTTTATAGACATTTCATAGAACTTACCCGTATTAATCTTTAAGTAAAAAGTAGTTAAGGTTTTATAAATAAATAATATGATTAATTATAAATTAAAGATAATTTATTCATACTTTCCAGCTATATATATAATGAGTTTTACACTTTCGAAAGCGAAATATTGAACATTATATAGCATTTTTCAATATATTTTTTATAGTATCATTGATTTTCCTACTGTATTTCATAATTTCAAACGACCGCATATACAGGGTGTTCCAGACCACCCGTCCACCCCTTCTAGTTTTTCAAAAACGCATTTTCAGAAAATATGAAACATACAAAATTTCAGTAAATCAGTCAAAGATTTCAGCGGTGACCTTTAATTTGACATTAGAAATGATTTTCAAGGGTATCTCAAGGTCAACGTGGTTTTTTTAAATAGGAACCCCTACTTTTGACCTTGAATTCTTAAAGAGCACGAAATTTTGATTCAAAAGTGTTTTTATAATTTTTTTTAATAGGGGTACAGTTTCCGAGAAAAAAATTCATTAACATTTGCAATTTAACATGTGAAGCCTTTCAGATAATTGCAACTCATTGGTTTCACGAGTTAAATTACAAATGTTAATGAACTTCTTTTTTCGGAAACTAAGAAACTTGAACATCCATTCGAATGACGTGGCTTGAAGTCGATACCTTAATGAAGAAAAAAAATATCCATTAATTTAAGCTCTCTCCCTCATTATTTTTCTTTATGCTTGCGCACCTTCTCTCTCTCACACTTACGCTGCGTGTAATCTTCTTCACATATATAAATCTATTTTATTGCGATTTTGTGCTTCATTTACTTGTGCTCGATCCTCCATACTCCTGGTGTTATTCTATTGCGTGGCCATTTCTATATTCCGCGTTTTTAGCCGCGACGAATCGACGCACGATACCTCCGCGGGCCTAACGGCAAGAAGGCCGTGTAAGAGGTATTTCTGCAGCTACCAGATTGGATTTCGCTTAACTACAGCGGCCCGTTCCGCGCTACTACAATTTCCATTGGGCAATTATCTTAAATTAATTATAGCGGGGTATTGCACCGTCCCACTTCTCTCCCCCGTTATAGTACCTATACTTCGTATTTAATTCAGTCACTGCACACTATGTGACAAGGTGAACAGCAATAATTGCTGGATTTGTGTGCGGTACTCTCCACGCACGGACGCAGCGAACAACCGTGGCTGTGGCAACATATCATTCACGCTTGGTTTGTTGCATGGTCTAGAAGATATGAGCGCGGCTGGAAGAAGAGGGCTGGAGATGAGGGCGAGAGCGATAAGAGAAGCGAAAGAGCGAGCGACTAATTATCGTAGAGGGGATTGATCGGCGGATTCTTAAACGAGGAAATTCGCGAAAATCGGAAAAAAAGTCAGAGAGAAACTCCAGAGAGAAGCCAGAGAGAGAGAGAGAGAGAGAGAGAGAGAGAGAGAGAGAGAGAGAGAGAGAGAGAGAGAGAGAGGGTAGACAGAGGCTAGAGAAAATATGTGAAACCGATCTACTCAGAATACTCCATGGAGGAGCAGTACACCGGGGAAACAGTAGGACACGAGTCCGGCACATTGTCATCTCTGCCGAGGCGAAGGCAGCCAAGCAGTCCTGGTAGGATACTCCTCAATTTAATCCTGGAGGTTGGACAGTGGCGCCGGTATTATCATCTCTTGAACGCTTCTACCAGTTGGATCACACTTTCGTCGCCTCCAGACTGTCACCTGCGAACGGAGTACGATGGAATCTGGGGGTCACTCTCCAGAGCATTTAATTTTCCGCTTTGCACAAACTCTCGCTCGAAACTTCGTAACTGTAATTTCTGCCGTTTTCATCGAGGACATTGAATGAATTCGCTCGTGTTCTCTTTGCTTAAGTTACGCTTGATTGTTGTGTTTCTACGAATGAGCGAATACGCTCTCTCTTTTGTAATTTTTCTGTTCATTTTAATACCGATTTATTTGTTGGTCGCGTTTCATGTATGAACGAGTCCACTCTCTCACGTTATAAGTTCGTAATTATATGTGTAATCGATGTTAATAAAGCGTAATAAAGAAATCACCTTCTATAAGTCTATGGAATTAACGTGTCACATTTCTTGATTGCCTCACCTCAATTCTTTCAGCCATTCGCGGTGGGTTTATGTTTGTGGAAGTTGGCACCAGCTTCCTTAACCGAGATAGGACCTAAAATCGCGAGGCATAGCTGTAGCGCACAGTAGCAAGTTTTTCCCCTTGCAACTGTTTCTATGGAAACAGTATAATATACATTTAAAAAAATATATACATGAGTTTTGCAGAATCCTAATCACGAAAATGAAGTCAGATTTTGAAAATTCAAATTTATGTAACATGTGAGTGGTAAATTATAAGTCCCATGCAAGTCTAATTTCTCGAAATTCTATACAGATATAGTGCGTGATTTTTTAATAAATAAAACATAGATTAAATTTGCTAGATTTTATTCAAACGTATATCATGCTCGTATTTATCCGGCATAAAAACCCCAGTGATAAGTAGGGAAAAGCCATCTAAATACGAGCAAACACAATCGAGAAAAGAAATATACAAAGACCTACGCTACTAACTTACAATTAATTGAGGCAGGCTCGCTTGGCCTGTGAATAGCCATTTAAACTAAAGCTACTCGTTACCACACGACGCTAATTGCATACCTTGTGCGAGAAGGAAGGTCGTCTCCTAGAGCAGCACAATGCTGTCTTGGTTATGGGCACAGCCCGTACTATGCTGCCCTTAACGTAAGAGTAGGGCCGAGTTACTGCCATTTGAATTGCCAAGGATCGGAGATGCCTCAGAGGATACCATACGTATCCTCAGCTAGGCCAACGGGTATCGACAGCCCTTGTTGCGATCATGGGTTAGTCAAGTCACTCGTATGCAGAAGCACGGAACAGTATTCGCACGCCACTGATGGTCACAGAATATAATGTAAGCACAAGGTACTCGCACTCACATTCGGTAAACGCGTAGCAATTGAAAGCTATTTCAATTGAGATAGCAACGAGGTAAAAAGGAACTGCGAGAGCAAGGAGGAGGTAACAGGACCGAGTTCACGAGGACAACTGTCTCCTTCCTTCTTCTTGAAGAAGGATCGGAGAGTTTTCTCGTCGCATTGGGCCTGGTCATGGGGGCTAATTCGAGCTGCAAGGGTTATAGGCCGAATTTCCTAACAAGCATTTACCTGCGCGATAATTGCTGATTGACCAACCCCCTTTTTTATGGCATAGCGCGTGCACCGCTGGCACTGTCGCATGTGTTCGCATTCTGGGTTTTTCCCATCCGTGACAAAACCTTAATAAGACGCAAGGGACTGCATCTCCGAATGGACTTTTACTTTTACAAAAAGAACCAAAAAAAAAAGTGTTATAAACTATCTCTTTCTTTTTTCGTATAACACACATGGAACGCAAATGCTACGATCAGCTACATATGTGTAAGTGGAAAATAGGCTGTATTTTAATACAATTAGAAAATAAACAGAATGCTTAATTTCAATCAATAGTAACTGTATGAAGAATAGAGATATTTATAATCGAAAAAATTGCTTTCGTAAGGCAAGAGTGCTTCTTTTAATGTGGTTCAACTCGTTCAGAGAAAAAAATTTACTTGCGATATTACGTAACCTCGAATATAGTTAAAATTCATATTTTTGGCTCTTTTAGAGTAGGATATCTCTAGAACCCTAAGTAATGGCAAAATTACATGGGCAGATTTGGATTTAGCGAGTTAAAATACTTCATAAATATGTTGTCGCATCTCTTGGTTTTTTTTGGCTGTCGGCCTGTGTAATTTGTTCACCGGTTTACTGTAAAATTTGCAGAATTTTTTATAATAGAATAATCCACGGTTCTATAAACTTTGCCATCCGAATTACTTCGACTCATTTTCTGAGTCAATTTCATTTTACTTCATTTCTATTACCGAGTGTAAATTTAGCACAGCTTGCCTTGTGCGCGGCAGCGTTCGACCTTCACATTTGCGTTTCAAGATACCTATTATAATTAATTTTTTCCTTTTCTTGATTTGGATTGTTGTAATAAATTTGTTATTAGTATTTTCTATCACTTTTGATGATAATTCCAACTTTGTCTTGCCTTGATTTCCTCTTGTATTTTTCATCTCAATCTTTAGAGACAATTGCCTAACAAGAATTTGCTCATGCTGGGACAGCAACGTAAGTAAGTACGTCAGGTAACATTCGGATTGCCTGGCCAATGCCTGGTGCTCAAGAATTTAAAATAAAGTAGAATATTACGTTATAGCAGATTACTGGTGGTCCTTAAAAAGAGATTTACGATCAGAACCAAATGGAAGAGAATGAAAGTATATTATTTGAAAACGTAGTTGTGCGATAATATAAAAAAGAATAATAAACTTGAAGGGATTTCTTATCATTCCTAAAGGTGCAAATCCTTTTTACTACTTGAAATATAGCTGACTATGATACATTTTGAATCTGTAATATAAATTTTTTTGCTTTTATCACTCTTTGGAAGTCTGTGTTCTTACTTTGTCTGTATATGCCTATCTTAACGTGTGAAAATATACTTCATCCCTTGTCCTAGCTTAGGTGAGCATTTGTCCAGCTATGTACTTTAATTCAAAAGCGTTCATGAAAAAAATCAAAACTAGCAAGATTAAAATATTATTACTCTAGATACTAAAAGCGAGATACTGACGTACTTTATATTATATTTTTTTATAATGCTTTAATAAATATTATTTCAGATATTAAGCCATATAGATTAAAAATTGCTGAAAACTTAAAAGCAAAGGGAACGTTCCTTATAAAAGAGGACAATACAATTAATTACAATATTGAAAGACTCCATTCATTATTTAATGGGAAACCAGACGTAACAATCGATGCATCTGGAGTGGAATCGTCCATACAGTTAGCAATACGTGTAAGTATAAAACAAAATATTATATATATATACACATGTGTAGCATTTCACGTCAAGCGGATTACCATCACAGCCAGAATTTGCTTTGACCGATTGGGACCTATGAGGTCTCAAAATGTTTGTCTCGGAATAGACTTTTGAAAGCCGTATGGCACTTTTCAAAAATGCAAAATGGCGAACCTAATGTGGCGGTTGAATGCTAGAGAAAACTTGAGTAAGCGACAAAAAGATGTTGTTCAGATTTATATTCGCAACCAACCAGGTCATTTTTTAATTCAAATTATATCTGAGAGATGCCTGTTGAAAGCTGATGTGGTTGGATGAAAAAATCCAAAATGGTGGATCCAAGATAGAATTCCAATTAGAAAAATTCAACCGATTCATACTAAAATTCGGTATATAGGGATTTTCGGAGTCGCTGATTACGAATTGGAAGTCAAATTTGCAAAATTCAAAATAACCGATCCAAGATGGCGGACTGAATTTTAAAAATACAACCAATTCTTACCAAAATCGGTATACGAGGTGTGTTTTCGAAAAGTAAGGTGACTTTGTATTTTTAAGACAAAATATTTATTTATTTATCAATATTTATGTTGTCCCCTTCAAAGTAACCCTTCTCAGATACAATACACCTATGCCAACGGTTTTTTCAATCCTCAAAGCACTTCTCATAAGCACTTTTCGGTATAGCCTTGAGCTCTTCCAGCGATGCAGTCTTTATCTCTTCAATCATTGCAAATCTCCGTCCTTTCATAGGTCTCTTTAGTTTTGAGAACAAGAAAAAGTCACATGGGGCCAAATCCGGTGAATATGGTGGCTGAGGCATGATTGTGGTGTTGTTTTTGGCCAAAAAATCTCTCACAAGCAAAGATGAGTGAGCAGTGGCATTATCGTGATGCAAAAGCCATGTGTTTTTCCACAATTCTGGGCGTTTTCTTCGTATTGCTTCTCGCAAACGGCGCATAACTTCAAGATAATACTGTTTATTGACCGTACGTCCATATGGTAAGAACTCCTGATGCACCATACCATGGTAATCGAAAAAAACAGTGAGCAAAACTTTGACATTTGATCGAACTTGGAGTGCTTTTTTCGGTCTTGGCTCATCTGGGCTCTTCCATTGGGACGATTGGACTTTGGTTTCGATATCATAACCATATACCCATGATTCTTCACCAGTTATGACCCTTTTGAGTAAATTTGGATTGTCGCTGACGTCATTCAACAGTTCTTGAGCGATGCTCATGCAACGGTTCTTTTGGTCAAAATTAAGCAATTTCGGAACAAACTTCACTGACACACGTCTCATGCCCAAAATGTTAGAAAAAATTTCATGGCACGAGCCAAGCGATATACCAACATCCTCCGCAACTTCTCTGATAGTGATTCGACGATTTTCCAGAACAATTTTCTTCACTGCTTGAACGTTTTCATCAGTTGTTGACGTGCTTGGGTGTCCAGAGCGAGGCTCGTCATTGGCATCTTCCCGGCCATCTTGGAAGAGTTTGTACCACTTGTAAACATTTTTTTTCACTCAGAACAGTGTCACCGTATGCCACCGTCAACATTTCAAGTGTTTCGGAGCACTTTATTTTATTTTTTACACAAAATTTGATGCAAATCCTTTGATCCATATTTTTCGATAGCAAGAAATCGCCGAGCACGCAAAACACTTATAACCTTTACGCCTCTCACAACCAAACAAAAAATGCTATACACTTGAAACTTGGTACAGATGTTCGGGAAGAGTGTACCAACATAACAAAACAAAAAAATCGATAATCAAAAGTACGTTGCCCGTGAAATTTGAAAAGTCACCTTACTTTTTGAACACACCTCGTATAGGGATTTTTAGGGACTATAATCAGGAATATGATGTCAGTGATATACACATAATGAAAATGTCGGATCCAATATGGTGGTTAATTCTGAAAAGAAATTGATAAATGGATCATGCCAGACGGCAATGTCCTCCAACAAATGTTCATATTTCATTTATATTTATTTAGCTATAAAAAATGATTTAAATATAAAAAAGTTTTTGAGGGCATTACCGTCTAGGTTATTTTTTCTCAATAATACATAATTAATTTGTATTGCAATTTGATCAATACAATGAAGGAATAAATTAGTCAAAAAGTGATAATATTAGCGTATTTTTTTCAAAAAGCTATGACAGACATGTCAACTCAGATTGTAAGAAATAAAAAATCACAACACAACCGTTGTTATTGGGTTATTTTGTGTTATCAGTGCCCCAAAAAAACTATATATATCCCAAGATCTTATTTTTGTACGAATCGATTAATTTTTTTAAATTTAGTCCGCTATCTCGGATATGTCATCTTAAATTTTGAAAATATGACTTTAGATTCGAAATCAACGATCCCAAAAACCCCTCTATACCGATATTGGGTTATTGAGTTATTACCGATATTGGTATGAATCGGTTTAATTTATCAAATTCGGTCCGCTATCTTGAATCCGCCATTTGGAGTTTGGCAAATCTCACTTTAGAATCGCGTATAGCGTCCCCAAAAATCTCTATATAACGATTTTTAAAATTGAACTATTTTATTTTATTTAAGCTGTCATTTTGGATCCGTCATTTCAATTTTAACTTTGCGATTGGCACTATCTTTAAGAGAAATATAATATGCCACGGATTTTTGAGTATCGCAATTAGGCCTTAAGGGATTCATACTAAAACGTATAATTATTTGTGGAAAAAAAATTTATTTCAGTGTTTTTTTAGTGTTTAGACGCCGTATCAAAAAAATGGCGCTAGATAGATTCATTCTGAAGTTATATTTGAAAAGAGCGGGAAAAATTACCGCGGAATATGAATTTTAGAAACAATCGAATAATTTTTTTATACACAAAACAGCAGATGAAAAGTTATAGAAATTTACGGCATTTTATTTTAACACTCACAAGGAAGGTACACCAAGTGTAAGTAACCGATTTCGATGACTTGATATATGGTAGTGCACTGAAAAATAGTCGACATGTATTTTTTTATGTATTAATACGTGGTTTAAAGGAGTCAAAACTGCCCCTAAAGTTCACCTCCGACAATCGTTTTTTTTATATGTCTCTTCTTCTAAATAAGATATTCTCTTGAAACCAACTAGATATTCATGGTTATTCAATAACAGTGTCAGGTAGCGTACCAAAACTCCAGAGGGTTACAACCCTTACTTTTTATAAGGGTAGAAGTGATTTTTTTTCTATATTTTTGTCTGACAAAATTGTGAATTCAATCCTCTTCTAAATTTTTTATTTAGAAGGGCATCAAGAATCAAGGTTGAAGCGTTTTTTATTTTTTTCTAATTTAAGGTTAAACTATCCTTTAATTAATTTTTTTATTTTATTGAAACTAAGCGCTATGAGTTAACTGTATAAATGAAATTGATGTAACTAACATTGAATCTGTTCAGTATAATGTGCACGACTAACAAAAAGCCAGAAGTATTCATTCGTGTAGCGAAGAAACCATTTAAGGGGTGGAAACTACTCATCATGTTCACCTCCAAGAACTGTTCTTTCAGTATATCTCCTTTTCTATAAAACATTTTTTCTTGAAACCAACTGAAAATTATTTGTTACCATGTCACAATGTTATAAGTTATACCACGGATCTAGGGGGTTGAATCTTATTTTTCACTGAACGGTGACTTTACGAAACCGACTTTTTACTGTTTTAAGAGACAAATTTCGCTTTCCTTTTCCACTCCTCCAAAACTCCACAGCTTTATTCTTGTATTCGAAACTCAATGGCTCACTTTGGCTCTTGCAATCGTCTGTCGGAAATTCAGGACCAACAAGAAGTGTGTTTAGATCAATATCCTCGACAATAATAGCATTAGTTTCCTTAAATTCTTCTTGGTAATCTAAAGCAGTTTCTACAATCGAATTAACATTATTACTTGAGTTCGTCAAATCTAATAATATTGACTGTAAAAGATCTTTAATTTCCACTTCCTTAATATTATAATTACTTTCTTCAATATGTAAAAATAAGCGAGTAGCATATTTATCACGTTTAGAGGATTGATTTTCATTTTGAATGCTAAAATAAACATAAAATGCTGGTAAAAATAATTATAAATACAAGAAAAATTTTCTACTTATGTTATCTAGGTTCATAATTAGTTGATGAAGAATATTATATTTACGCATGTACTCCATAAATAATTTAACTAGAAAATAACTTGAAGAGACAATATCAAAAATAAACTTACATTATATATAAATTAAGAAAAAAGAATTATTCACACAAACAGAGAAAAACAAAAATTTTTTGAGACAAAGATTGTTGAAAATCAAAGATGAATACGAAAGTTATTTTCAATACGAACATGTAGAATGCCTGATTTAGTTCATTTATTTCTACAGATATTCCAATTCAAAATCCATATGTAGCATTCTCTCATCAATATAATATTTTTCACATGACTGAAATATATGACCTAAAACTTACATGCGTTACTACTCTCGAAATTTTTTTGAGACTTGAAATAATATAAATATGTATATATTTTTTTCTAATGTTTCGCAAGAATTTCTTTCGCAGAAGAGCACCGACTTACAACTAAACATTCGATTGACTGGCACCGAATAAAAATATACGTAGTAAGAACATGATGATGAAACCTGCTCATTTTTAGCAGATAAATAAGTTGAAAACATTCCAATGACTCACACCAGAAAACTCATTTCTTCCGAATATGAATCTTATGTTAATAATAATATTAATGTAATGCAACTTATGGTCATAATAATGTTGAAGTAATTAATTGTTCGCATAAATAATTATAAACGTAATTATTATTAACTTTACTGCTTTTTACAGTGTGACGGTAAACGTCGAATTAGCGCTAATAACGTAACCTAATTGCTGCTCGCGGGGGCAGCACCTACTGGGGAGATTAGGAACGTAACGAAGGAATGCGGCACGTGAGCAGACGGAACACGCGCGCTTAAATTTGAACCAG